TTGTTAACTTATAATATGGCCATGATATAGTTTTGTTTAATGACGATACTGACAAAATTCCGAGTCTTCTGACCGCTGTAAGCAACAATGCAAGCATGTTCGGGATGCGATTCCCCCCTTCGAAATTGGGTTGCATCGGCACCTGGACTATTGATGGGGAGTGATGTAGTTGAACGTGTCGACCGCTCGACTTATTCGGAAGACTCATCAGCCCTTGTGGTCTGGTGTGTGGCGAAATCTCAGCACGGATACAGAAGGCTCAACTAGCTTTTTCCAACTTGTGTCATTTATGGCGTAGGCGAGATATACGTCTACCAACCAAAGGACGGATTTACTACGCAGCAGTGAAACATGGCTGATAAGAGTAGAGGATATTCGTAGGTTACTAGTATTTGATCATGGATGACTTCGAAGCATCTTGAGACCACCGAGTAAGTAACTCAGTTGTTAGGAGACGGGTTCTAGGTAAGGATGGCAAATCGGTTGATGAAGTAGTGAAACTTCATCAGTTGAGATGTCTGGGACATGTGCTACGTATGTCCAACCACCGACTGCACCGACGAGCTATGTTTTATGGTGTAGGAGTAGGTTGGAAGAAAGCTAGGGGTGGCCAGACCAAAACATGGCACAAATCCATGAAGTCACTGACAAGTTGACTTAGCCATGTTGGTAGGTGTAGACTACCTAGTTCGGATCCGCGAGATGATAGCGACCGATGGGCAGAGAACTTGAACGACATGGCTTAAAGTCGTTTGCAATGGCGCAGGTGCATCCACTCTGTGTTCTCCTGAATTCTAATCTTCTGAATTCTTCATGTCTTTTTTTTTCTCTTTCCGAATCTATTTCACTGTATTATACTCCTTGAATAACATTTTCAAAACCTAATGTCTTCGATTACTGCTTATGCTTTTACTACCCCTACCACTATGGGATTTGAATCGACAATCGTATCTCTGTGCTAATGTGGTGTGGCAACTTGAACTGATGTACGTATGTACGAAGTTCTACGTTGTTGCTGACTGACTGACTAGAATATAGTAAAACTCATTTATGAATTTTAAAAAAACAAAGTTTCAATTCAAAAAGTGGATTTGGCAAGGAAATTAAATAATAATAGGAATATACTGTTATCTTCAAACTTTCAAAAATACTTGTTAATATTAAACATCAGATATTTTTCACTTTTTATGTCTATTTTATGGATTAATATTTCGTGGCTAAGACTAGCGATGAGATGCAGGTACATCCAGCTGACGAATCCCAAATAGGACCAGATGTGCGTCTTGGATTCCACTGCTAGCCACTGTCTATCTTTGCTTATAATACTTGTGAATTAAGGCAATATTGAGGCAATACACACATTATGCACATATACCAATAAGAGACTGATCAATTTCAGTCTTAAACATCAATGGGAAGATTCATGTAAACATTATAAATTGAATTTAATCTTCATAACTTCGTAATATCACAAATATTTATTAGAAATTTGCTGATATAATCCTCAAGTGTACACTATTTAGCTACAGTTTCTTAAAATTCATATCTATTTGGTTGTAATAATATATCACTCAATTAAAGCGTATATTCATATTATATCAATAGACTCAACTGTGGTGATAAAAATACTGACATACATTTTGTTGATGTGTTTTATGTATCACAAAATTGAGTCGTAAAATTCAATCTTCCTGGTTGGTTGATATAGATACAAGGCCAACTATTTAAACTTTTATTGCATAGCAGAGCTATTACTTATCTGTTGAACTTGATCATGAATAGATAAAAAATTTTGATACTACTTACTAAAATATTATTCAGTACATACCAACTAGAAGTTCCTTGATCAAGTGATGTGTATTTGCGGAAATGGGTAACTGTATTCCATCTGGTATCGATCTGAACGACATGGTTCACGCACCCCAATCAAATAAAATAAAAGACAGTTCTGGAATTTTGCAATGCAACACATGTGAGACCATGGATTATGGAAGTAGTCCCAATGATTTCGGTCTAAACGAGATGGATTCTGATATAAAACTTCCCCTACTCACACGAATATTCTCACGCCAGACACACAACAATAACTCATGTAGTGGTGATTTTCACCCCGATTCACTTGGAAGTAATGGGCTATTTTCACAAAACACTGGTAAAATAAACGTATCTTCAGTTTTAGTTAAACAGGACATGAAGTGGAATTCGCAACTTGCGCGACCGGTGTTGGAACTATTTACGACTTCATCCATAAGCAGAGAACTAGATACCCCAAGCGAAACTCAAAAATTATTGCCTTATACTGCCGAAAATATTACAAATATAGAAGTAAAACGAAATTTTGATAAAGCAAGAGGTATTACAAACGAGGATAGTGGGATGGAAAGCTGTTCAATAGACAGTCATTTGAAAAGCTTATACTTATCTTGTGACGTCAAAAAAAACGACTCAAAAAAATCATCACCTGGATTGGAATTAAAAAGTATAACCAGTGAAAACGTTTGTGAAAAGACAATCCCGTTAATGAACTTGGTTTATCCAAGGAAAGAGAGAATTACTGGAAGTACACAAATTACTGAAATAAATTCTAGTCCCCCCATCATGTCTAAATGTTCTTTGAACAACAATCAAGTGGAACCTATACTACCCTTTTATGAAGAATGGTTATATGACAAAAATAAACAGAACTTGAGTAGCAATTCAACATATAGCATTTCAAATTATCCAAAGCTTTCGGGCGAACAAAGGCGAGTCCAACCACTTGTAGCCGTAGCCAAAATGACTTACTATCAAAAATACCCTCATGAATTAAATGTTTCAGAAGGTGAAAGGTTGCTGATACTTAGTCGCGTGTCGGCCCCACGTAATATGATTGAAGGTATATCAAGCTCATTAACAAAAGATGAAGATTTTTGGCTAGTTGAAAGAATTGAGCTAAAGCATATGTCTAACCACTGTTCTCGGAAAGGATTGGTGCCAGGAGAATATTTGCAAATTATTGGTAATTCCCTAACCACCCACATTTCCTGGTTTGATATTGACAGAAACGAAGCAGAAAGATTACTGCTTCTAATGGGTAACCCGTCCGGAACATATATTATACGTCCATCTTCAGGTAATGAATTTTTATTGAGTGTAAACACGTTTTCTTAACTGTATTCGTCATTATAATTAAAACGGATTCATTTGTTAGTATCTTATATTTTATTAATTAAAATCTTGGAAATAATGGTAGGTCCTGGTTTCTGATTTAAAGCTCTACAGACAAACCCCCACAATTTTTATAACAATTAAATAGGGTTAACTGGAAAAACTAGTATTGAAATAATTAGCGTCTCTGTATTAAACACAGTTAATTAGTTCAGTTACACATAATATATTGCATAGTGCTTTGAACAATGCTATTATTAATTTAGATTATTATGTATGATCAGTAGTATTACTAGCATTTCCACAGATTGTAAATGGGGTTATTTTTTCCATTGGCTTATGTATATATTACTTCTTACTACATTAAGTAACGTGTAAAGGATCTTAGTTTTCCTAATACAAACTTAAACCACAGAAATGCTAGTTCAGACGAAATATGGAATATACGAAACATCGAATGTACTTTATTCTATTTAAATAGAGATACAAACAGAATAAGTTTCATGAATCTGCATCTTGATAGTTCAAAAGTTAAATTTAACTAATATTTGTCATAACTTGAACTGGAAAGATAAAATAAATCGAAAACTGGAAATGCTTCCAACAATAGCTGACTAGATATCAATAACTGAAACTTCTCACTGGTGAACATTGTTTCATTTTTGATATTATGGTTAGTACGTTTATTAACGACTCCAAACTGGCATCTGCAGTTAAACTAAATGACATTTATTGGCGTTTTCTATATGACTTTTAGATTCAGATGAGACATTCGCTCTGTCAGTACGGTATTTGGACCAATCGACACTGATTTGGTCAGTGAAGCATTACCGAGTAAGATTTAGATTGAAAGACGGAAAATTCTATATATTCCGCCGCATTTCATTTCCGACTATTGATCAACTGGTGGCACACTATACAGGTAAATCACGGACATTTATGTTCCTATTCACAAAACATCGGAAATAAAGTAGTCATAGTTAATTATGTAACAATCGGAAATAAAGGTTAGACAATTAAATTTTCTAATAAAGTTCATTAACGTTGTTATAAGAACCCAAATAAAAAGAAAACTTTAAGTTGCTTCTTTTGCTACATTTACACTCTACCAACTATTTAGATGAACTTGAGGTTCAGTGAGGTGTAAATAAAAAAATTTGTTCAATAAAATATCAACTTTCAAATAAATAGCATCAAGCTTTTAGGTGAATAAAGGGGTTCTAGAATACAGCCGTTTCAGTGTCCAACAAATTACCAACAATGACGATGACTTCTTCAATGACATTAACAGCTCTAATCAATGGAAGTCCATTTCAATTGAAAATATCTTTAGGATTGACAAGGGTGGTTCACAACCTATGTGAATTCATGATCAATAACTCTTAATATTTCGCTTATCATCAAATCATGTTTTCACTATACTTAATGAAAACTGCTAGTTTTTTTTAAAAAAAATAGGTACTTCATTCTGTAATAGTAAAATCGCTTTTGTGAATTAATTCCTGCTAGCTATTAAATTTTAGTCATGCATTTCATAGTGTTTATTGTTTGTTATTGTGCCTCAAAAAATAAGCAAACCTACACGATGTTATTCTCTGATTTTTAAATACACCCATTCGAAAAAAGGATCTACTGCTATTAACTATTAGCAAATCACTATGTTTAATCAACTTATTCAAATCACTTCAGATATATCTTAATGAAATCATGGTCGTTGACCTAAAAAAACAGAAGTAACGATAAAACGCATCATGAGATATCGTCTGATTCGGTTCGTTAAGAAAAAGGAAATGGGGATGATATTCAACTTGTTACATCCCATCCACTCTTTCTTCCCAACTGTAACCTCTATTAGAAATAATATGTCCGGTAATTTTTTGTTTGTAGACCTCTATGTGTATAGTTTTCAATTTATCGGTTTAGTTTGTTTAAATGTAATAACTTATAAACATAATGGATTTTACTCCAAGTTCTATAGAAAATGTAGATTAATTCACATTTATTATTCATCATGGAAAATTGTTGAAGTTATCGTGTGCTTAACGTAAGTAAATTTTTTGTTTCTACTCGTCACAATTATATATCAGCTATCCTAATTACTTCTTGGCTGTAATAACCAACGTTTTGTCTTATAAAGTAAATGCCGATGGAATCGCCTGCTGCTTAACTACACCATATCCGAAAAATTACGAGCCACCAACAAAATTATCTTTGCTAGAAGTAAATAGAAATAACTTTGGATTCATTAAAAAACTTGGACAAGGAAGCTTTGGTGAAGTATGGTATGGAGCGTGGAATAATCAAATACCCGTAGCAATAAAAAAATTACTTGGGAATGGTAATATGAATCATACGAAATTTCTGAATGAAGCTGAACTTATGCACCGACTGAATCATCCGAATGTAGTCAGAATTTTGGCTGTATGCACACTTCCTATTAATGAACCAACTTACATTATAAGTGAACTAATGGAGAATGGATCGTTGAAACAGTATATGCAGAAGCTTAATCCTGTAGAAATCAGAATGAAGAATCTACTTGAAATGATGAAAGATGTGAGTTTTTTAAGTGGAATAAATGTTCAGTCTCAGTTCTTTTCACCAATAAAGGTATTCTGAGAACACTCTTTCAGGCAATATGTCATGCAATCTCATAAAGACGTTCCGTAGAGTAATATATGAAATTACTTCTTTTCAAAAAGAATCAATTGAAGTTAACGATTCAGGAATAAAAATTATGAAAACGAATTCAATTTCAACTTAGCAAACTTTTTATGTGGTGAATGCTTCGCTAGCCATGTTTCTGTTTCATTGACCTTTTCGTTCCTTTAAATCACTATGATACCGTTGGTTGATATAGATATTTTCTGAAATAGCTCGGCCGCAAATTGAATGAAAATCTATTCTTATGAACAAAGATTTATAAAATGGGGGTACCGGAATCTAAGCAAAGATAAGTAATAATTTAGCAGTTAATGTTCTGAACATATCTAATTATATGCATATGTAATATTCAGGAACGACTGAAGTGTGGTACTGATATTTCAAACAATCGAGTTGACTTCCGTTTTACCACTTTACAAGCATATTTCCATGAAAACAAATTACATCTAAAACTGACAGCGTCATTACCACGATAGGTTTACGTTTTTAAGTTTGGTTTGAGTAAAACTATAAGACACTTAGAAATGCTGCTAAGATATTTATACTAAAATGTCAAAAAAGTTGTTAACCAGTAGGTGTGATTTGTTTCATGTAACGTGAACTGGTAAACTGGCATTATCTTCTTCAAAGATTTTATTGAAATAAAAGTTTATTTAGGTTTACAGAGATTTTTGTCAACGCTCATCTTATTTGCAGGTGACTATCTTCGCTAATAACTTTAAATTACCATAATTAGGTTTAGTATCACGGACTTATTTTAGCTAAACAACCAATGAGAACCATGAAGCACTGAACAGCTATGATGTAAAACTACCGATTCAACGTTCTCTATAATCTCATATACTAAGTATAATAAGTAGGTTTTGAACACTTCTGTTTTTTTTCTTAATACAAGGTTGTCGGAGGAATGGTGCATTTGGAGGAACAGCATTATGTTCATCGGGATCTAAGAGCCAGCAACATTTTAGTTGACAGTAAAAATAGACTTAAGGTAGCAGATTTCGGTTTGGCTCATTTGCTTAGTGATACAGACGAATACATTGGAACACTAGGTAAGTTAGACCCTATCACCTGATTTCACTTAATTGTTTATATGTAATAGTATTTTGAACGCAATCCATATTCTAAATGAGTGTTTTAAAAATTGTGTTTCATCATATATATCACATGATACCTTTGATGTTAACACTATGACCCTGATTTCAATACTTGTGTTAATTCAAACTAAACAACTAAACGAAGGTTAAATAAATTAATCAAATATAATGTCATGAATATCACTAATGGTAAACATTAGTGATTTCGATCCTATTAAGAAAAAGCTCAAACATATATGGTATAGTTTTCAGTGATAAAGTAATAAATTACTAAACTACAGATCAAACGTGTGTTTTTAATGCTTATGAATAATCATTCTGAAATGATTTAGAATACACCGTTTTAACAGTATTCTTGAGTGATACCATGTATATTCATTCATAAACTAATAGTATAAACTAACAGACTTCGACCATCTTACTTTAGCAATCCAAACTGATTAATTTATTACTTTAAATAAAATTTTGCCACCAGACTAGTTTAATAAATTCTTTCCGAAAAGAACCCTTCGAAGGCAATATTTCAATTCAACTTGGCATTTGTTCAGTTTGTTATCATATCAAAGGAAGAAAGATAGCTTATTTGCTTTAATGTGTGTATCTCCCCCAGTTGTAATTTTTTTCGAGATGAGACACTAAACTAAGTTTTACTGCTTATTTTATCACGTGCAGCTCTTAGATAGTTCATTGCTATATTTTTTTATCACTTTTCAAATGTTCTCACTTAAGTAGTTTAGATCTTTCTCGATATATTTGTCATAGCACGATTCCCTCCTAAAATATGACTGAAGATCAACTGGTAGGGAAGCATTAAAAAAACTATAATCTACTCGTTTTGGACTTTCTACCCTTAAATCTTATTTAAAAACCTTTAAAATCAAAACTCTCAAAACGTATATACGGGTGATTACACCAGCAGTCTGAACAGCTGAAAAAATAATTCACCAGACTACAACATACTTAGAAAAAAGGCATGAATACGCGCGTCTGACAGAAATTGCTCCATATTGAAACCATTATTTTAGTAGACTAAAACAAAGTAGTTTTCTTTAAACTGTCTGATGTTTTGATTCTTTGTTTACTTGAAACAACGTTAGTTTTTCGAACTTCTCTATTGATTTTTAGTATTGCAACTGATCAGTCTCATCCGCGATATGTGCATCCTGTACCGATTGCCTCGATCTTGGTATTAAGCCACAAGAATTATAAGCAGAGATGATAGCTAGTAGTCGAATCCAACTTTGGAATCCAGGTACATTCAGTTGAAAAATCCGGGAAAGGATTGAACTCAAGTCTTGGATTCCACTGCTAGCCCACACCTATCTCTGCTTACAATATTAATGTTGTTAAGTAAATACTTTGTAATTCAATCATTAAGTTTTTTTCAGTAACTATTGTTTTAACAATGAAATTCCTTTTTCTATCTGCCTATCATCCTTACCGAAATGCACAACAAAAATCACAAACCATAAGAAACCAAGTATCCCGTTCGATGGACAGCCCCAGAAGGGATTTTAAAGCAAGCTTATTCAACAAAATCAGATGTGTGGTCATTTGGGATACTGGTTCATGAAATATTAACCTTCTGTGAATTACCCTACAAAGGTTGGTTAGTGTTTATTAGCTTTCTTACTCTCATATAACTTAAAACTACAGTCCTTTGTATTTTCTAACAATAATATGGCGTAAACTATCTTCACACTCAAAATACCAGCTTTGCCACTCTGCACGGAACGTGATTAATTATAAAAATATATGAAACGGTTTATGTGTAACTGGGATCCTTAAGATTGCGTAAAAATTCAAACGACAGCAGTTTCGAACACCATATTGAATGCCATCTCTGAATTTCCAAATTAATTAGGAAATTGGGCAATAAAGGGAACACATTAGACGGCGAAGGATTAAGTTATTAAACTAGGGCCATATACAACCGAAATTCCCAACTCGTTAGTTTCATGGGATTCAGTGATCGATTTCGATACAGTAATCCTAAATTCAACACATTATATCTACAATCTGGCAAACTTGATCAATGTTTACGGCAGTTTGAGTCAAAGTAAGACAAACAATTTGAGCATGATGACATACTTGGTATTTAGACGAGTTTTCAGTCAAGTGAGACTCATCATTCATCTTCTTCATCATAGCATCATTCAATAAACCATACACTGCTAAAAATCTTTGATAGTAATAACAATAATGTGCTTTCAGTGATTAAGATCATGAGTCAGTTGAAGCTGAACCACCATGGAAAACCTGGAAGCACTGGTGGTATAGCTTCAACTGACTCATGATCTTAATCATTGAAATTACTACAATCTCAACAAAACCCCTTCTGACAATAATGTGCTTATTAAATATTATATTCAAAAAACACACATCTGTTATTTTTTTCCTAATCAGTTGTGCTCGTGATGAACATCTACATTCGGTGTAATGTAGGTAAAACCTACTTTACAATATGACAATATTAAGTAGATGCTTAGCATATCCAGGGTGTTTGCTTTAGGAATGCTAAGGTTGTATTCGCTTTAAAACCTTAAGTAAATGTAATAAGGTGTACTTTGTATGTAGTACATCGTTTTGTTGTATAGTAACCAAATGACACTGAACCTTTTTTCAAACAAATAAAAACTTTACAGTACCTATATAGCTTTCTCAGTATCATTCAATGACGGAGATTATTCATAAGAGGTTATCAAGATAACAAGTAGTTTTAATTTCACATAGAAAAATTTAGAATATACTTAGTTTAATTATTAAAAATAAACCGTAAGAAATCGTCAACTACTTTGGCAGAAAGAAGTCGTATTTTCTTTTGAAATAAACAATTGATTAGTCGAATATACCTTAACTGAATAAATAAGCTGAACAGTAGTGTGATGCACTAATCTTTTACTGTTCAGGTTTGTAAACAGGTGTTAAGATTCTAGAATACAAACTAAGATATAACGTCTATTTTTAAACCTCAGTATTCACACTTTCTGTGAATCCTAATGGTTTTGAGCAGGATAGTATTAGAGTTATGGTTGAAATGATACTAGAAGTAGCATAATTATAATGTTCACTCATATGTCACTTGAGGAATTCAAGTGCCGCTAAATACTATCAAAAAGATATGAATATGGATTTTAACTAGATGAGTGTAACAGTCAATATAATTTTTCGGACTAATCAAAATTACTTGATTTATCCATTAGCAAATATCGTCTCCACTTTTGTATTGAAAGTACTTTTACTATTGATTACTGATAAAATATTTTACTTCGTTTAAATATTTCATTACAAAAATTTTTATCGAATAACTACCATAAACACTGGCGTAATTTTACCAAAACGTCATCGTTTTCTTCTCCTACTCCTGGAAGAATATTTGATGAAACCCTATAGCCTAATAAAAATAAACCCGCCCAATAGAATTGGAGGGCTACTACTTAGTTACATATGTACGCCTGCTACCCCTCGTGGAGAAGCAAAGATCGCTCACCAGCATTCTTCATACAATTCTGTCCTCGACAATACATTCCAGTTCTTTCCAGTTTCTATTCATACTTTTCATACTTGCTTCCAACTCCTGACGCAGTGTGTGATTCGGCCTTCCTCTTTTCAGTTCCCCTTCACGGTTTCACGTTAGTGCTTGTTTCGTGATGCAGTTTGGTGATTTCAGGATTCCATATCCTATTCACCGTGAACGTCTTTTCCTGATTTCATCTCTCAACAGTAGACTGTTTTTCATAGTATCCGATCAACGAATATTCAGTATCTCGAGTAGACAATTCTTTACAAATACTTGTACGTTTGTGATGATGGTTGTGGTGGCTCTCGAAGTTTCAGTTCCGTATAGTGGAACTATCTTGACGTTCATAATGAAGATTCTGATTTTCATATTGTTTGACATACAGTTGTTCTGAATTCCATATATTCCTTAACTGTAGTAGAGTAGATGTGACTCTTTATTTTCCAATCCTTGACTTCACGTGTGCCTCACATCTTCTTTGTTCATCGATGATGCTGTGCATGTACGGTAAGTGAAAATTTCCACCTCTTCTATATCACACTTCCTGAAGTGTGATTGAATTGGTGTTCTCGGTGTTGTATTTGAGGATATTACTTTTTCTCTTGTGTCTGTCGAGACATACTGATGAAGAGGCTGCAGCTAAATTGGTTGCCTTTACCTGTATTTGTTAGTGTGTGTGTGTGCATGTGATAGAATAGTTAGGTCATCTGAGAAGTTTAAATCGTCTAGTTGCATCCAAGCAGTTCATTGTATTCCGTTAATTCCCTCAGATGTCGAGGTTTTCATAATTCTGTAAACCACTAGAAGAAATTATAAAGATTTCTATGGAAACCATTCTTTATTTAGTATTTACTTCGGTTTTATTTGAAACTTATAAAATTTAAGGAGAAAAGCTCACTACTTTCATATGTGTTACAGTTTATTTTCTTTGTGCCAGCTACCGCTTTCATTTGAGGCAGTTGCTGATAATTTAGAATTTGCGTCTCCATTTCATGATCTATTGTCGCATATACCATAAAGTGAGGATACACGTAACAGAAAAAATTCCGTATAACCCAGTACACTTTGCTGATCACTTAATTGGACTAACTGTCATACATATTTATTCCTTAAATGATGTGATTATTCAGCCACTAGTGGCAGAGGAAAGCAACTTTACATCAAGGCGTGCAAATACGATGAAAATCTATGTGATTTTTTGCATTGTGATGGTTTGTTGTTGTTTTATATATTAAAACGTTAACCAAGTTTTACCGATACCTAATACGAAAACCTTTCTTATCTAATAACTTATACATTTGCATAAATGTAATTATATATATATAGCAATAAACATTAGTGATACCTGTCAGCTAATGCGACACAGCTACTAGCTTATTCCTAATATCATAGGCACTTGTGGCTTTACAAAATGCTTCAATAACTGCAACTTGTCCTCTTTAGAAGGCTTGAATAGAACGATGCGATATGTAATTAGGTGTTGCATATAGTTTGAACTATTAGCTCACTAGATTATAAACGTGCTTATGGTTTAGAAGAGAACGATTGTCTGAACTTGGTTGGTGAATAAATCTTGTCATCTGGAACTGTTTGAGAAAAGAATTTGGCCATAATTATTCTCAAGAAAACTTACCATATTAATGATAAGGATGGTGTGGATCAAAAACTTGGTAACATTGTCTTAAAAACTTGGTGAAATGATTTAGCACAAAACTTCACGTAAAAGACTATTAAAATAGAAAATTTATTGACTCTCAAGAGTGAATTAGTGGATAGTAGTATGGCTTTTACATCCCCCTAAAATTTGTAGGCGATCATTCTTATTTAAACACTAAAATAGAAAGCATCACACAATTGCTAGGATTTACACAAAGAATTACACTGTTAACTATTAACAGTTATTTATTTTATTCCTTATTGGTTCAGATGCTTATTCTGTATTTCATAGTATTTAATATTTATTCCATTTTCATCACAATTTCAGAATTCACTGTGAACGAAGTCAAAGTACGAGTGTGTTCAGGTTACAGATTACCTCGTCCCTTATTGAAAATACCCTCTACAGAAACTCTCCTACCTGTAGATGATGGGTACGAGGTTCCCAAACGAAAAAGTGTGGAAACTTTTATGTGTCCTATCAATATTTACAACAAATTGCTTGAATGTTGGAATATTTCACCAGATAAAAGGCCATCATTTAGTTCACTATATTCTTTTATCGAGGAATTATTAGAAAAAGAAATCAAGAAGGATGTCAGCACAAACTAAAAACAGATCACATCTCAAAACGTCCTGTTTAACTGCTCAAATATATCTTGCACATGTTTTGTACTTATTTTGTAAACCTGAAAAGAAACCGAATCATTGATTTTTGTAATTGTTTCATTCCTCTAAAAATATAAAGGTCTTAAGGCATCGCTATTTCGTATAATGACCAATACTCTTGGTACCAAACCTTCAGTTTAGTAAACCCTAAATTTTAAGCACCATAAAGCACTAGCAATGATTAGATCAGATTCATACTTTAAATTGATGATTTACAATACAGATATGTCTTAGATAAAAATAAAGATTCATTTTTGGCTTCCTCACAACACAATAAAATACAAACATAAGAGAAACAAAAATAGGATATTCAGCGTAGGCGAACGCTAATTTATCAATTTATGCCTCCAGACGTTTGGTAATTTATCTAGTGATAGTAAAATCATGAACCAGGAATTTACTTAATGTCTGTATGTTTGATTTTAGGATTTTATGATACATTTTGAATTTAATCGAATGGTCAACAGTAGCATATAATACTTCACACTGAATAATACCACACCGCTTGAATTAATTTAACTAAATTTGAACTTATGATTGAAAACCGTGATTTACTATATCTTAATGACAATGTATACTATCAAGGACTCTGATTTCGGAATACAACTTTTAGGATAATTAGAGTTTTATTCCTACTTTCACTAATTGTGTCAAAACTAACATTTCCTTACAGAGTGGGGTAATTAATTTTGCTTTCATCGTAAATTTTAAAATAAATAGATATAAGTTGTTCAAGGTATGAAAAATTCGGAGTGAATAGGTTAAAGGACCTTATAATGGCATAGAGAAATGTAAATATGAACAAGCGAATATGAAATTGAAAATCTTACTTAGTATTAGTGATCCCTTTACAGTTCAGTTTCTGATATGTATGAGTGACGTGGATAGCAAATCTTCATGATTGAGTAAGAATTACTATAGCACATTTTCTGGCTCATTTTTTTTAACAGCAAACGTTAAAACACAAAACCTCTCAGAGTTCAATATGTCACCTGAAAAAATGAAAGCACAGTTGAGAGTCTTTACGTATGATTGTGCTGAGTCAGATGATTATAGTTTAATATTTTACTCATCCATCGCACTGCAATTACCTTCTCTCGCAATTCATCAAGTCTGTATCATAAAGCGAACAATAGTTTTGATTCTGCTTGACTTCTCTGACATACAATCTTTAGGTTATTTAAACTGACTGTCGTAACATTGATATCATTAGTAGTACAATGATAGAACGCGTATCTGTAATATGTGTCCAAGTTTGTTTAGCAAGGTGAAAAATTTATTTTCCAAGTTATTTCCATTTTAACTTCAATCTTCGGTTTTAGCAAGTCAGTCACCTGAAGATAAAACTAATGTATAACGATTGCAGTTAATTATGAAAAAACTTTATCAGGACCATTCGAGATTTTGGATTAGTCTGATTATTTCAGTAAACAGTATTAGAGTTCTCTTCAAAGTCAAACCAATCAGGTGTAACACAACGCGCTTTATTACATAAAATGAACAGTCATCTCACACAGTTGAATTCACATGCTTTTTGATAAGTAACATTTGTGATGAATAGTAGTATTTAATTTAATTTACTCACAATTCCTAGTTATGTCAAGAACGTAAAAATTAAATGACGCTCGATTAAGAAATTAGACTGTGAATACACGTGGAGTTATTGTATTGAAATCGAAATAAGGCGAACCATTGTGTATAAAATGATTATCACTTAGCAAAACATCACACTTGAACAAAAAATTGTCAACCTTCTAAACAAATAATGGCAAGATTTTCACACTTCTAATAATATCTGATGTGTAAGCAAACAGTCGTACCTTGTTTGTTGATTATAAAACTACAAAAAGAAATGAATACTCCACTTATATGACTATAGGTTTCATATTGTCCATATCGTATTCTAATAACTTTGTCAAGTGCATTCTATGAGGGACTTTCTGTACATCTAATGGTTGATAGTAGAATATAACAAAAATCCATCAAATGAAAGTTGTTTGAGATTTTTGGTAAGTTTTTAAGTAGGCTTGGCACCCCAAATAAATCAACATATATCTTAATGAATAAAGTTGCCTGATCATATTTTACTAGCACTGTTTGTAAGGCATCTAGCGAAGTTTCTTACAGGTACAAGTGACTCTTATGTGGACACTACTAAACGGTTTTAGGAATTCTTTTCTACTAATATTCTGGTGGATGATATTGTGTTGTTTAGATAGCAAACGTACCTATTTGGCTTTTCAAGAATTCCCTTGAGAGGTCCGAATTCTACAAGAAAGGTTGAGTTCAATGTCTTTTACTCGATTAATCGACAACAAATATATGGGTAAACTTTGTATAAAGGATTCTTAATGGGTCAGTCATGTAAAACGTTAAGGAGTGCAATCAGAACACTTCTCGTAGACCTTTCATCATCTCTTCTTTAGTAAAATACTATTTAACCCTGTCTGATAGAATTCACATCATCATCTATGAAATTACACTAAACAGATGAATTGACATGTGCATATGAAAAGAAATATTATATGATTTACATTAAAATGAATATTCGTTGAACAAAATTCTCATCTGTAATGTAGGAAATGTCCTGAGAAATGAGTTTAAAATTTCCTTCAATAAAACGTGAGTCTCCAAGTCATCTTTAAATTGTAGGTTCATTTATAGTACTTCAACATGCCCACGATGTTGTTTCTAAGTACTATAAATTTACTACTTTGTATTGTTGTAAGAGCTCGCTTGTCAACGGGATTTTCATTTGGACAGTAGTTTATTCTTTTGACATACTGAAAGTATGAATGGAGATGAATAGCCACATCATGGAGACTATCTATGATCGATTCTTGTTGGTTATCGTATTATGAGAGTGTGACGGAATTTCGAGCTTTACTTGATCATTTGGTTACAATCGCTAACATTTTAATTTCTTAATACTCATAAGAGTTGGGAATATGACCACTAATGTTACTGACCTAACATTATAATGTACTCTTAACTGGTATCCAGTCGTCGAATTTAATTGCCGGTAATCCCTGGAATTAAGTTACATGCTGTTTGATATTCACTGACTTTTTTCAGCAATTTTGAGGTACCTGGTGATAGCAATCCAATCAAGGGGTTTTGTTGTTTCGGAATTTCTATAAAATCATATAGATCCGAAAATGAAATACTGTCAAGCGGAAACTGTAACTTATGTCACACGAAATGGGATTGAACATTATTTAATTTATATACACACATAGTACATAGACAAAACAATAAAGTGACGTTACTAAATAAAATCTGTACATTCGATTGGGTAAGCAGATGTTTGTAAGATGTTGCGATTGTATGCTGTTTACGATTTTGAAAATATCAAACTTCTCATAGAATATGGTTTTAATGTTTTTGTTACCAAAACTGTAGTGAGTTTAATTTGATCCTATTAAGATATCGCGTACTGCTTGTACCACATATCAATTAATATTCATCAAAAATAAATGTGAGTTTCTTTCAAATTCAAGCAAATAAACTCACTAGTACATATAATGAAGCAAATCATATTTTTGAAATAATCCACTCCAGAAAAATGAGGTTATGATACATATTCATTTAGAGTAGCGTGCAATAAACCCTTTGTTCCCTATCTCACCGGAGTACGGGAAAATAACTCGATTTTGACAACCCATACACAGGTTTAGGACTGATGTTTAAACATTTTATTACCGGTAGTAATGGTGATGATATCCCAAAACCTTCATGAATTAAGTGATCGTTAACTTGAATGTTACGTTTTCCAGATACCAATATATTATGTTACACCAATGTAATCCTTTAAAATTCAGCAGCTGGTAAAAGAAATAATTACACTTCAAAAAATCACACTCTGAATGATTTACAAATTGTGAAAGTAAAAAAATGAGCTGTGCAGAATTATCATGCTGTAAAGCCGTTAAACCCAGCTAAATATTTGTGGAAAATGTATGAAAACAAATTATAATGTTTGAGGTCACATATGGTTTCGACGCAAGTAGGCGACTATACACGATAAGGAAACCAAACATACATCAACCAAATATTAGTATGTTTGTTATAAGCGGGATATATATATATATATATATAACCTATATTCAACATAATAGCTGGATTAGTTATCAGTGCTTCCGAAGCTAATAATCAATACTAAAACCAGGGATGGGGATTATTCTGTGCAAAGACTGCATTGAATTTTAATTTCTTCAAAAGCATTAATCTATAGCTTGTTTTAAAAAAGAGATTAAAGAATTTAGGATAAATTTTAAGAAAAACCACTTCAATTCTATCAAACTGATTACCATTAACGCATAGTGTGTGCAAACTTCGCGAGATTATTAAAAATACCAATATTACAATTCTGAAGAATATTACAACTATTACTTGATGAATTGGATGAAAAAAATAAGTGAATTAGACAAATTATAACTGATCTTAAAGAAAGCCTGAAGCCATGGATGTTATATCATTACTCAAAACTGATTAAATAAAAATGGAAAGTAATCCAATTGTTTAGTCTTTTAGACAGGTGGTCATATTTTAAGACTAGATGAACGAATCGGGTGATGATATATTTCGTTCATTTGTCAATTCATCAAGAGTCGAATCTAATTTGGGTAAACGAACATGTCTAATATCTTTCGAGGTGAAAAGAAATACAGTGAATTGTGAATATTTTGTTTATTTATTTATAATCACTTATCAGAGCTTAACATAAGACAGTGTACCGTTTTAATGTATTAACAAATTTATTTCTAAACTTTAATCGTTAATCATGTTTCATTAACCATGAAGTCATCTTTGAAATATCAGTGAACATTCTATTCAACATTTTATCCAAGACAAACTTCAGTTAGTTGGAGTTGTTCTGATATTCTTAGTTGTAATCATTGTACGAATAAGTTACAAAATGCTTATATTTGTTCTCTAATATTCATTTTAATATTGAATATCAACACTATAAATTGCACTAGGTCGATATTCTCTTTTTCACAATTAGTAATATGAACGCCATTTCCGCTGAATTAGAAAACTAAGTGACATTTATAATGCTTTATGTTCCTTTATGTTTGTTTTTTAGGTGGTGC